TTTTCTTTACGTTCTGCTCTTCTACGTACAGGAATCATTCCGAGTTGTATATCGATAATGGCGGAGTGTCTGGCTGGGTGTCACAACCGTTGAGGTTTGTTTGCTTGTTTGTTTGTTTGTTTGTTTATTTGTGTCGTCGCATAACGATTTAACCGCCTAGGACGTTAGCCATAACACACCAGTGTTGTACAGTAATTGCACTCAAGCTATGTAAGAAAGACCAGGCTGTCATGTCTGAACCACTCATACTGGGAATGACCCCTACACTTTTCTATAAGTGAAGTATACGTAGGTTTTTAAACGTTCTTAAGATGTGGCTCTCCTCAAACACGGGACCTCTAGCTGGCTCTACGTCCCATCTGAGAGGACACCCCTAACCAAAGATAGGTACTTATTTTCACCTGAGTCAAGTTTAAGGAAATAGATGAGGTATGCTAGGGATCGAACCCAGACCCTTTAGTTTCTAAGTCAACAACCCTAACCACAAGACGACCATCCGAGAGGACACCCCTATAGCTAACCTAAGATAGGTACTCATGTTCACCTGAGTCGAGTACTAGATGAAGTAATAGATGTAAATGCATTTGCCGATGGCACAACACTTGGGTCTGCCAGGGATTCGAACCCAGACCCTTTAGATTTGGTTTAAGTCAACTACCCTAACCACAAGACGACCTTGCCGCCTCCCAGGTTCGTGCCCATTGTCGGGTTCTCCCCGTTTAATGTCCGGTCCGTGTGCGGGACTGAGGTGCGGGATCACGTCCACAACCCGCGGGGCCTGTGTCACGGCTGCGTCAGGCTGATATGCGACCCAAGGTACGGTAATTGTTAAGCTTTTTTCCTGTCCAGTTCCGTTGTAATACCTTGTCTTTGTCTTGCCTTTTGCAATTAGCCTCTACCAGGCACCGCGAATCGCTGGAAAAATAGTAGAAATTGGTCGAAATAAAGGAATAATATACCAGGAGAGGTAGCTGGCCAGAAAAGATCCAATTCACGACCCATTTGTATATTCTCTGGCCGGCTACCTCCCCTGGTATATTATTCCTTTATTTCGGCCAATTTCTACTATTTTTCCAGCGATTCGCGGTGCCTGGTAGCGGCTATTTTGCAATAGTCACAGGCTAGTTGCCCTAACTATATGTATGCATGTCCAATGATCAAACCAATAAATGAATGAAAAAAATAAAAGGTCCAAAAATATCTCCAAATAGACTCCGAAATTTTGTTCTTCAATTCTTTAAATATGCATTATGTAAAACTAGGACAATATAGAAAGTGGATACTTAAGACTTCCCAGACATTTCTTGACGTAGTAAATTCAATCAAACCTATATATCTCATAATGCTACCTCAAGCGAAAGCAAGCTGATTCGACTTGTTTGCAAGACTTACGGTATCCAAGTCAACCCTTTCTAAAGACTAAACAAACCTATGCAGCCATGGGTAAAATCCCTCTTTTCTTCAAGAATTAAATACCCTTACAAAGAAAACGTTAATAATATTTTTATCTACTTGATAAAACAGTCCAAAATATACACATTCAAAGAGTCATGTCCATTTCTCCAGTATATGATATCACATCGATTAAACGACTTGTGCGATTTCTCTTTTCGGTCTAAAGCAATGAATATTTTATGTCGCGGAAAATAGAGTATTATACGATTTGACTCATAATGAAACATACCGGAAAGCGCCTTTCAATATCTGTTATGTACAAGCTGAATGAGTTATATATATCCGGCAAGTTGTTGAATTGATAGTGTCTGTGTGAGAAACCAAGGCACGCAATGTTAATACAAGACAATGAGAACTTGGCAACCACTTGGGTCTACTCTAAAAGTAGCCTTTGTTGGAAGTGTATTGAAATAAGGCGACTGTACAAAAAGAGCATCGTTGCTATTCAATTTAAAAGGTAGGACATGAATATTCAGGATTAGGACGCATATTGTATACTTCTTGTCCCAACAATATATACATATATCGTTTTGTAACCATTGCTACGCAGGCTATTCTAAGACTATATTGTGCAAGGCAGTTTTAGATACTAGTACTTAAATTTGTGCTAAAGCAATTTTACCCTTGGGACATTTCAACGTACTCTGTTAGTGTATATATATGACGCATTTTAAAATCATACCTAGTTATTATGCTTATATGAATTTGTTATGTTTAAATATTATAACTCCATCCTGTATCTAATGTATATTGCACATTTGGAACGGTTTTAGCTACCTAGCGGCTGAGCATCCTGAGCGAGTCGGGGGAGGCTATCTGTACGGGGAGGAGCGGGGTAGGAAGTGGGCGCTGGGCGGGACCTGGTGGAAGGGACGCCCGACCACACACCCGACATCACCCGCTGATGACTGGGACACCACCGGGCAGATGAAGCTCCGCAATAGGTCTGATCGTAATGGTGAGTGCAACGGAACGGGTATTGCAATGAATTCTACCTCACAGCCTATAAACAACAATCTTTCTTTGCACAAAAAAGTATAAAGTGACTTTCGTAGAACTATAATCATGCCATGCAAACTAAAATGGATACAAATGAATTAAGTAAGCCTACATAATATACAAGCATAGAACAACATGTTGAGTTTGACATGTCACGAATACTACTTGCTCTAATTGAGTAGAAGGGTGTCTGTAACGCTACATTCTTTGAGATATTTACCTATTTGTACAGTCAAGTACGAGTTATCTCCTATAGATTTTATGGAATTCATCTGTTGGATGGAATGTATCAAATTCTGGTTGGCAAGTGGAAACAATATACATGTTACGTCACAGTCTAAATGTAGATACAAACAGGTATCACCATGCGGGGGGGGGGGTCCAAAATGGCGCCAAATTTAAGATGACCAGCGTTTGACAGTATCCAAAAACAGAACATTGGAACAAAAAATTCCCAAGTGTGACAGGAAAATTAGAACGCGTTAACTTCCTAGACTTACCGGGATATGATCTCTCAAGGGATTATCTTCCGTACTTTTTCACCTGGCAACTTGCACACGAATAGGACACGTTTATAATCACTATGTTACAGACAAAACACCCTTAACTTTCCTCAGAAATGTCGTACATAAAAACAAAACTCTACCATTTCCCGTTCCCAGCCTCCTCTCTGCCGCGCCTGCCGGGTTACAACAGCGCGGGAAAATCTGCAGACGACAGTAATACTAAAACGCTGAAGACCAAGGGAACGAGACCGACTCGTGACCAGGGTTCCCGAGGCTCGGCCGTGTCTCTACCCAAAGTCGGTTCGCCGGCGCTATCGCGGGCTCGGAGCTGCAGTATTGGCAGCAAAGACCCGGACGGTAGGAAACTTTGTTCCAGCTTTTTTGTGCTTTCCTAGTGTCCTAGTTTCGAGTGAAGTGACAGAACCAAGCGGTCGGAGAGGATCTAAGATCATAGTCTTTTCCGTAACAAAACACCTGAATATTGTACCACCATTGTACGACTGTGCTAAGAATGCCTACGTTTGCAATCGTAAGGCGATTGTACGACGAAGGTTACGACGAAAGTGATTGGGCCCTTACCGATAGCATTATGTGGTCCTCTACGACAAACAGTATGGAGAACTTTATATGCGATTTTTCCTACACGACACACCACAAATCCATGACTTACCATCACAGAATTCCCTATAATTATGTTAGTCAATTTTCGTCAAACATGGAGTCTGGTACGAAGTAACAACCACTTTCCGGCGGCAGTACCAACAAAAGCCACCAGGGGCCCAAAATCTAATCATTTCTATGTCTCATCAATACCTATCCACCTACCAAGTTCATGACAATATGTATAAAGCTTCTTGAGTAACGTTTGATTGAGAGTCGGGTGGGATCCCGGAGAGGGGGGAAGCGGTTAGCGAAGGAAAGGAGCAGAACTTTTCCCGTAAATTATGGTGTAATCATACATTGATTTTCCGTACAGCTATAGATCTGGAAAGCGTGAACCTACCCCGGATAGGCGGGCTGAATTCCGGATCCGAACAGACTCCGCCGGCAAAGCTGGACGCTGGCGACGACTCCGACTTGGACTCGGACCGGATGGACCTCCGCTCTCTGAACGAAGGTAGGTGGGCGTTCTGGGGGCCATGCCTCAGTTCCTGTAAGTTCGGAACAAATCGCAAGAAGGCGTAACTTTCCAAGAAAATATACCTGATAAATGTATGATATGAAACCATTGTATATGGTCATGAGAAGTTACATTCATGGCATAGCACGTCGCCCCCTTTTTTAAGCTGGAAAGATGACACGAAACATCAAGTTCAAATGTAATGCAACCTTATAATTCTTTTTTTATCATTTTTTCTTCAGATGTTGCCGATGCTGAGACTAGGCTGTCCGGACAGGTTTCCGGCAAACTACAGGCTATTGATGAGGTAAAGGTCCTTTTGGTTTCCTCAGAATTACTTCAACAATCTCGTAATTTCTCTCCAGACTCCTGACACTGTATTCCTAAGATTATATAGGAAGAATTTCTTCGTAGAAAGGAGCCACTTAAATCATCCAAATGGGAAAGCTAGAATGTCGCTCATTCTTGTATTGTGGGAGTGGGCAAAATGGCCTTGTATTTGTAGAACATTGGTGGTTGTAACTTGAAATATTGGAGTAAGCATTTCAAGTTATCATCCACCCCAACAAATGCGGTTCAGCACCAAGGACAACACCTATGCAGAGGTAGCATTCATCAATATACGGGCGTATTCACCAGTACATACACAGATATTTTGATACATGCAAGTTGTGCGTTTGTGTTTTTCTTATGACAGGATATTGAGGGTATGGCAAGCAAGATGAGACCGGGCTCTGCGGATTCTGGACTGGGAAGCACGCTTTCGGGAGGTAAGAAATACAACAACAACAACAAAACACGCAACACCTCTGCTCACAAGACTTTGAAAAATCTCGAAATTTCTCGCGAGAACTCAAAATCTCGAGAGCTATGGCGAGACTCTTTCCGAGATTTGAGGAGAGGACTATACCATTACACGTATGGGGAAGGCAATCGTATACGCCAGTTATTGCAGACCTACTACATACAGGGACGTTGCGAGAGCGGTACATGTAGTTAGCCGAGTCAACAGCGGGAAGAAGAAAGTGTGAGAACTGAAGATTGTTCTCTCGCTTTATGTATTTCTGAATGTCTTATGATTTGATATTATGATCTAAATGTTTTTTTGTTGTTTTGGTCAGGAACCTCCTCAGATGATTCCAGCTATGCCCAGTCCCGGAAGAGGGCAGAGATAGTACGGAAACAGGGGAAACACGTCCGCTGGAAACGCAACCCTGTACAGGTGGAGTTCCTGGTAGAGGTGAGGGCAAACGTTACTAAATGTGCAGCACTGTATTAAACAGTACCTCGTGGTTATTTGCATAGTCATCCATTCATTGGTTTCTGCATGCTTTAAGATCTGTGTAATTATATTGCATAGCACTTAGTAACGTTAACATGGTATGGACTATGGACTAATGAATACCGTCACCCACAATGGCTGCTTTGTCGTCTTTAGAAAATTGAAATTTACCACCATTAGATTATCATCATCATCTTCAGATACTCAAATATTTATATATCCATATACAAGCTTTTCAACAGAAACAAATGTCATGAATTATAATATATTGGAAATTTTACGTCAAGTAGGATTACTGTAGGAACTTGAATTACAGCCTATATACAGTCTATATGGCCCCATTGGAATCTGGTGATTATCTTTTTCAATTGAGATTGAGCTAGTATAAATTCTAATGTTATTAAATATATCTTTGCCTCAAAAGCCCACACTAGAGGAGACCTCCCCCGTCCCATCATCCCCAGCGCTGTCCGGATCCGGATCAGACATGACGTCACCTACTCCGGATCCGGAGTGGACGGAGGATGCCCGATCAGTGGAACTCCCTCCCCTACCAAGCCTTCCGGATTTAGAGTACGGGGAAGAAGATGCTAAGAAGGAGCATTCCGACACAGACTTCGAGAAAAAGGTAAGCACTTCACTGGAAATTCGTAAAATATCTTCTTCATATAGTTATACAAGTACGAATACCTCTGATAAATTATACAATTTTATATCGGAAAAATTGCACTTTATAGCTTTATTCTAGTAAACTTTCATGAAGAAGACTAAACTACATTGAAAATGGTAATAAAAATCCACTGCTTATTTTCCGTACGTCTATTCATAGCCTGGCCTTACTATAATATAATAGCCGTATAAATGCGTTAATTGAATGCCCTGCCATGCCTTGATGAAATGTTTGATTGATAAGACGTATAGTATTGTAAGCTTTTAATCCTCCCCAGTCTACGGCAAATGTCATGCGTTTACTCTGCCGATTTAGACAATATCTATTTTGTAAAAGATACGAAGTTTAAAAGAAAACAATGAAACATCATTTGTTCTTATAAGGTTATGTCTTTGAACTGCAAATTTAAATCCAGAAGAACTGATACAAACCGTGAGAATCGAAAAAATATAGCAAAAATATAGATTTTGGATGATGCATCACTGTCATATCAATCTTACATATTAATATGATATTATGAATGAATGAATGAATGAATGAATGAATGAATGAAACTTTATTTTCGTGTCGTGCGCATACCACGCCCAGCCCGTGTGGGCTTATACGACACCGTTTGAGAATAAATAATACATAAACAACAGAGAAACAGAGGTACAGAATCCAAACAAAATGTGAACACAAATAAAGTTAGGCTATATACAATTAAGCAGAACAGAGTGAACTCATAACAGATCATAAATGCAAATAAACAAATCTGTACATAAACTTGATAAAGAACCAAGATTTCACAAAATAAATACAAGTACATAAGGTAAATCAAATATAAATAAGAGAAAACAAATGTGTAGAAGTAACAAAAGGTGAGAACTGTTGATGTGTTATGAATACAGGTATTTACGTATGTGCACACAATTAAGATGTATGTATTTATGATTGATGAATCAATATCATGATTGCTTTTTCAGCATGACGTCACTGAGGGTGTCCGTTCAGCCAAGACAGCCATCAAACGGAAACCCAAACCGAAACCGAAAACTTGGAGGGACCTGATCAAGTATGGTGACATCTAGATTTCAGCACACTTTATACTATATAATCTAAATTTAAGCATAAAGTGGCTTCAGAATTTAAAGTAAAGGTTGATACCTTTTAATTACCTACATGAAAGTTAGATTTCAGCACCCTGACAAATTAAGCAAAAAAAAGGGACTTAGAATCTAAGTGACAGTACGATATTTAGCGGGGGGAGGGCCGGTCGCCTGGGGGGGGGGTCTAGGAAAAAATGGGCCGGGGGGAGGGTCTAGGGAAAAAAATCGGACATGGGGGGAGGGTCTAGGAAAAATTAAAAGTCTCAACCTCCTTTATCTACATATAATCTATATCTCCGCGCCCTTTACAATAAAAACGGATCTAGAATCAAATGTAAATGTTCATGCACTCTTTATAGGACATCATGTTGCATGTAGTAATATGTACTAACGTTATAGCATACTTAAAGATATCAATATCAATCTAAATCTTTTAACAGGAGCACTTTCTTCAAGACTTTACCACTGTTTCTCACTCTAAACACCATTTCTACCCAGGCCTGTACACAGCGTGCCTGCTACCAGAAGTAGAAGCGCAAACGGTCACGTAGATGACGTCATTGATGACGCACTTCCGGACGATGACCCCTTAGACTACCTTGCAAAGTACTGTATAGTTAGGTAAGCCTCAAGTACTTTTTCCTAATGCTAGTATTAAAAGCATTTTAAGAAAACATGCCAGTTGTTGGAAATGATAAACTTTCAAATTTTAGTGCCTGCCCAACAGATTTGGCTACATATTTACCTCAGGTAAAAAGATTACCTATGTTGTATAGAGAAAGTTAACGCTACATAGAAAAACTAATCTAAAAATTCATCTTGGTTTGCTTTTGTTCCAGACCGAACCGCTTACCGACATACGAGGCCATCTTCACCTGGTTCGCAAAAGAACCGGAAGAAGAGGAAGAGGTAAATTTGTTACGTTTATCGTTCCTGACTACCCTTAAAAGGACTTAGCGGAAAAGATTTCTTTCTTTGTTGTCAATTTTTCGTCGGATTTTCAGTTCAACACATGAGTTGACGTCCTTTGGGACACTGGTTCCTTATTTGTTAAGACTTTCTGAGGAACTGAACTCTCTTCAACTTGAATTTCGTTAACCAGGTGAACAAAGGGAGAACAGCCTTCAACCAGAGTAAAAAACTGAAAAAGTCAAGTAAAAAGTCAGCTTCGTCCTCAAGTTTACGTAGCGACAAAGACAGCGGCGATGACGAGAAGAAAATGGAACCGAAAGAGATGTTTAATGTAAGTATATATTTCCTTTTTGCGCTAAAAATCACCATCATACTATATTATTAATCGATATACTAATCCATGCTATTCATGAAAGAGGCTCTAAGCATCTAGAGGAAAAGTTAGCCACAGTCATGCACGTACACAGTCATCGAAAAATAAGATTTTCAATCCACAATCTAAGCGACCTTTATCTAGCCGGCGTTTCGGTAACTCAGAAGCTATCTTCACCAGGCATAAATGGACTGTACTACTACTACTAATTAACGCATGGTGGCGTTGCTGCATGAGTCATGTGCCAACTGATTATGCCGTAAATTTCTTAAAAAGCTGTGTGGTTGAGGTACGTTTTGTACAAGAGATGATGAACATATATATGTATCTGATCACCAATCCTACCCAACAGGACACGCCTCAGGACTACAAAGAGAAGGTGGCGAGTAAGATAGCGTTCCTACAGGGGAAACAGGACGACTTACGGGGGGAACTACATCAACTTAGAGGTACGGACACATATTTGCATCACCAGAGGAAAAAACAACATTTTACCTATTGGTTATGTATTTTTGTTGATATTCAGCAGGGGCATTAGCTCATCATGATTTTATAGTTCACGTTTTATTCATTAGTCATGTTTATTACATTCATTTTTTGAAATGCCAAGAAATTTGCAAGTTGACTTCTAATCAGATCTCGAGAGCACCAAGTTTTTTTTGGGTTCGACCATTCCTACTTAAGTCATTTTCTGTAACACTATAACGTTATTCGTTCTAAACGCTTGGTTCAATGTGTTCACCTTTTCCCCAGAAAACTTGGTACGGTCCATAGCCGAAGAAGCGCGCAGACCTGGAGCTCTCTCTGGCGTCAAGACGAAGAAAGGGAAGAAGGGGAAGAAGAAGAGTAAGAAAAGCAAGTCTAAGAAGAGCGGAGCCTCAGCGGCCGGCAGTGCGGTCAGTAAAAACACACAACTCAGGAAGATGAGCGACAAGGAGCTACTAGAGTCTCTTACTAAACAGGAGAAAGAAAGCGTGAGTTTTGTTGTATGCTGTGTAATGCACTGTAATTTTTTTTATTTATTTTTCTCGGTTATTCAAAGTTTCAGTTAGCAAGGCTAGCTTATGCTAAGGATACAACCTTGTCAATTTGGCACAGGTAATAAAATAATGAAAGTTTACTCATGCCCGAGGTCTCGATGCAGAGACATATATAGAGCATGATAAAATACTTACAGTAAAATGGCTATGAATAATGCTACCAACGCTACTTTTGACATAGTTGTTCATAAACTCCATCATTGCCCTCCCAGTTGGAGTCACTGATTCAAGTAAAGAGAGTAAGAGCCGAAATAACGTCACGAGAGGACAGGATTAAGAAAATGGAAGCGAGAATAAAACACCTTCAAGGTATGTGAGCGTTAGAATTAAAAGTTGCTTAAGTAAATAATTCTTTTTCTATTCGTAAGAGGGCGAAAAGATAAACTTCACAGTTATGAATTGTAACTGATAACTTATACCTGATCAAAATATCCATTATTCCATAAAAGTGGGCACACATATCATGCAATGTTGTATAACGAGATACCTGAATGATAATAGTTATTTGGCGCTTATGTTACTACTCTTATTTCCAGACGAGATTCGGCGGGCAGACTGGAAGCTAACGAAGCAGAGACAGACAGACCTGAGACAGTACACCCAGTCACCAGGCTTCCGCCGCGCTCAGAGCTCACGGTACCGGACTATGCACCCGGAAATAGTGAGCAGAAACCTTTTTTATTTGATTTGATTTGATTTGATTTATTTTACTGTATACACAGATATACAGTCGGCCAGGACTGTCCAAGTAGCCAGAAATAGTGAGCAGGATTTTTTTTAAATATGGCAGTTACGCATTCATGCTTTCAAAGAGTATTATCATAGCCACTACGCTCACTCGGTGGTTTATTCGGTGGTTATCGCACAGGACCAGGGATTATCTCACCATTATATACACCTCGGGGCGGGGAACTAACTTTAATAGTAGCCATCTACGGGCCCGCCATAAGTGTTAAAGGCTCTGTAAAGTTATAAAGCTTTAAAGTTGTGAATTTTTACATTTTCAGTTGATAAATATAATACACACTTTCAATTGTACGTAAAAGTTTAGAAGGAACCATCATAACACATGCCCCATGATTATTTAGGACGTAGAGTTGGACGTTGAAGACCTGAAAGACGCCTTGTTGCAAGTCAACAGTCATCTTTCCACTAAAGAACTGGATTTTATCAGTCAAGTAAGTACAAACGGCATCAAAACATGCACAATGCAGCTATACGAGCGATCGCCATGACGTCACGGTCAGTGAGCGGTGTGCAAAAAGCGGGTGATTCGCCTATCGATAATTTGCATATGTTTTCAAATAATTTGCATGTATATAATGTACACAAAATCGCTATCGCTCGTATTTTACTCATTTAATATTTGCATTTAGAAAATTCAAGAAGCTCAATACCTTTCTATTTGTACATCCCGAAGATTGAAGTATTTAGAGGATAAGCGTTAATGGCCAGTCTACAAACCACTACTATCTTTCAGTACAAGTGTGTGTGTGTTCTGGGGAGGGGGTCATTTAGGTAACATTTTTGGTAACAATACATCTATTAAAACAACCGCGTAACAGCTATATAGCTACACAAACCTACACACCTACAATCTTGTTCCTAGTCCCTTGACTTTACTGAATGTATGTTTGCCATTCTAGCTGTGCCACGATACGGGAATAGAATACAGAACATTAGTCACACTAACCTGGACATGTCGTCACCAAGTCGTTCCCGGAGCTCTTCTTCCCACGAGACTCGTTCCCATGCCATTCACTGTCATGTTGGCAACTCTGATAAGAATACCACCTACCGAAATAAACTGCATTTTAGACCTTAGTAGAACTAGTTAGTAGTTAGACATCTGTTACAGTTTAGTTAGCGAATTCTGCAGAGTTTTCGTCTCCTATAATCATGATTATGTTGAAATGATACACCTGCAGGTACTGGATATTCCCGGTAGGCGGCGCCTCAATCTCAAACTGTTCAGCGCCGTCGCTGCACTGTCGGAGAGAATCACTGAAGTGGAGTAAGAATGATTTTTAAAATTCAAAACCCTGCAAATATATGACCGTTTAATTTGTTGTCTTCTTTTACATTTTTGTCTTCTTTTACATGCATGCTACAAGTGTGGAAAAACATGAAAAGTATCAGAAGCTGTACCTTGCAATCAGTAAGATTTGTGAAAAAAAAATCCGAGCCCCTCTTACTCATACTAGAATAGTGTACGTACCTTCCACTAAGTCTCCACTTACATGCACCTAGTTCTCCATGCATATGACAATGTTGTGTTTTATTTTTATCCCAGACCTTTCGTGAAGAAGCTGATTGACAAGATGGATTTTGAGGCCCTGGCAGTGAAGATGGAAAGATGCAAGGTACGTACACTGAGTAGTTATCGAAAGCTCGGTATAAAAACTACGTTTTTCCCCATTATTTCCCAATTATTCACAATTACATTGGTTATATTCTAGATAGTATCTAGAATGTAACCAATGTAAATTTGAAGTAGATATGATATAGGGCTTTTTACTTCTTGATTTTGAGACTGTATAAACAGTAAAAAAAACGTTATGATGTATTGAGTCATTTACCTTGATAATCTGGATTTTGTCTTCTGAATCTCTGTTTGACTTTTTTCATCACCAGGAGATGTTCCGGCTGCTGTCAGACCAGTATAACGACACGCCGCCCGGCACGGTCAAGACGCATGCGCTGGGCGTGGAAATGGCGGCCGGGGGCCTGAGAAACGAACACATCAAACGGGTGGGTACATGTAGCTATAGCCTAGCCACAAGTTCAAGAGGTGTTCAGAACCCAGTAAGTTTGCATTGCCCATTCACAGTGTAGTTGGCCCCAGCAACATACTTTCATCAATCCCACCGCTGCCACCATGTTTAAAGAGTTTTGGCTGTGTGCTTTGGGATTGTTCAGAATAAAAGTAACAAAAGGGTAAAAAAAGTCTGCCAATTTCCTACTAAATGCCATTTCATGTGTGTCTTTGTAAGCTATGAAATATTGAACACTTTGGGTAACGGATGGGGGCAAGCCAAATTATTATGATCATAATTTACGTGATTAGTTAAAAGGTCTTTGTGTGCTCTATCATAATTTGTGACAATGAAGAAATATTGTGACAGATGTTTCTTTCATATACTTTAAACGTTTCCAATACTAGGAACCAAGAACACACAAAATTGGAAATGACCACTACATACACAGCACTTCTGCTCAGTTTTGTATGTCTTTTTTTTTTTGTCTTACTCGTTCGTATTACGCGCTATATATGTATACATAACAAGAAACGTACTGTGTTAGTGGCAAACCTCAAAGTTTTAAATATATTTTTGTCCCTTTTACTCAGGTTCTGTGCAAGTTGGACCGGGAGGGAACCGGTCTGGTGGATTTCCTGACTTATCTCATCTACATACCGCTGTTTATAGAGATCCACGAGCGGATAGTGGACGATCCGTTAGCCTCGGACCGGTTTAGATAGCGACTTTGGAAACCTGCAATCTTCAGAGGTCGCTGTCAAATATAGTTATTGGACAACTGCACTTCTAAGCAATATCGCATGAGATACTTTAACTGGATGGAATACAGGCAATACACGAAAGCTTCAGCCACGTCCATGTAAATATTGTCATGAAAAACGTGTCTATTAAATATGGTCTTGTGCAATTAATGTTGAGGTACGTATTGTCATATGCATCAACGATGATATGTACATATAAGAGTCGATCATTCATGAGTGCAACAGACAGCAAATGAACATTAGAGCCATGTTATGTGCATGTCCTGTCTTTAAATCTAAAGACGAACAAAATACGTATACCTAATAGAAAAATTGATAAAAAATTGATATTGTACATAACTCTGTGACACTATTCATTGTCTTCAATATTACCCTTGGTGTATCAAAACACTCCGTGAAAAATAAACTTATTTTTGTCCTTTCAACTTTTTACTCATAAGAAAGATCCTTCGTTGCTACTTGAGTTGTATTTATTAATCTTATATGTAAACTTTTTTTTTATTCATTTAAACAACAAAGTACAAGACATGGTACAAGACACAGAGGTGGAAACTCTAGCTGAAGCTAATATTAATCACACCACTGACATAGAATACAAAATACAGGTATGACAATGACAAAACAACAAATGAGTGTTCGTATATACAAGAGTAAACTTGGGTCGACGGACCCGAAGTTTACATTATTTTACCCATGGTCATCTCAGCTTGAGGCGTGTCTATTTACTGACGCTATAGCAACCCTGGGACCGTACCTTCTGGTGTTGTTTGCCTTAGACAGATAACCTATTAACATCGAACATTGCGCGGTATTTCTAAAGCTAGCTCATTTCTACGTCACTGAGTTGACATATGTACACACAGATAAACTGTTTATCTAATTTACGTCATGTTTAAAGCTAACATTGAGACAGAGGACCATATTGGAGCTACTTGTACTTCTTTTTGTCACATCCAACCATGCAGTACAGCTATCTCCTTGGGCTGGCCACCACTTTGGTAAGGACCCGGTCACATATTAATATTCATCGTACGATTGTCGTACGATCACATAATAACGATATTAAGATAGTCGTGCATATGTCGCAAAGCATTCAGCTGCATGTATCTTGTGACTAAAACAAAGGCTGTCATAGATCCTTGCTATGTTTACCGAAGGAAAACATGTTGTTTTGTACTGTTTCCTCTTCTTCTTCTTTTCCAAACCAAAAGTCAATGACCTGAACCAAACCGTCCGTTTGTATGTTTGTTTGTTTGTCTATGATGTAGGTTGTTGTATGGCTATCCACCGGAGTTACAGACGCGGCTATTGGACAATGGCCTCTGAACGGTAAGATACACTCACGGTCAAAATCACCTCTAGAACGTCTAAAAAGTGTCACTATATCTGAAGCAAAGATTTCAACTAAAGAACTGGTGTGTTGTGCCACCTGGCGGTTTGGTCCAGCAGTATAATCTTGAACTAAAGAACTGAACCTGAGAAGCGCATATTGCAGATGAATGCAGAATTAATCGTATCCTCTAAAATCGCAATATTTTTATCATCTAACTGACGTAATAGACAGGAATTTATACAATTCACTTCTGTTCCGCTAGGGTACCAGCAACCTGACGGACATTGAACCTTGTTTTACAGGCGGCCCATGCCCCTATGACGAAAGCGACGTCGACATTTGCGGACTCGGGTGTTGGTGTGAGAACGACTACTCTTACTGCTCATCACCGTACGTACATGTAGATTTTAAGGACCTTGCAGACAGAATGACATTAAAGTGTTTCTTGGTTGAACACATTTAGCATTAAAGGGCATATAGAATTATGTTATTCCCTCAAAATATACGTATATAT